AGGTAGGTAGGTAGGTAGGTAGGTAGGTAGGTAGGTAGGTAGGCAGGCAGGCAGGCAGGCAGGCAGGCAGGAAGGCAGGCAGGCAGGCAGATAGATAAATCAGTTTTGATACTGTTGCATATTCTCCAAGTTTTGCTTCCCCTCTGGTACCATAGGCAACATTCTCTTTCGTTATTTGTTTAATGTTATATATTTATTTCCAATACTTATGAGGTGTCTTTTTTTACATAACCACTGCATGTAATACAAAGTTGCTTCTTTATACTGACATTTACCCCTTTTTTGTTACATGCTTTATCTATTTAATTATAAATGGATCTATTACATAAATTAAGGATTTTATACCAATTTTCCTCATAAGCATTGTTAATAATTTTGTTTCATTTATTATTTTCTACATAATTCCTCTCATAATTTTATACTTATTGTGCTTTTAAAGATTTTTTTATCTACTTTATCATATAATTTTTACTTGTTCTTTCTCCATGTCATATTTTAGTGACAGATTAAATGCTTAATCTAGTTCTTTAACACTTACATCCCACTGACTCCTCATGAGTGTTGTTCGTTTTTAAGGACAGAAAGAAAATTCCAGTGATGGAGAATACAAATCTATCACACTACTAATCTTTGCTTTAAAGTTATTAGAACAGTGAAACATCCATTTTAGAAAGCAACTAATGAAAGGTTAATGAGATATGAAATAGAATAACAACTTCAAAAGAATTATTGTGGTATGCAATGCCATTCAACTGTGGGAAATCTATAATGAATGAGCATACTTTACAGGGATACTTCAACTAATCACACCAATGTTTCCTCTAGTGACAGATGAAGTATTTTCGTATCACCTAATATTTAATTTTTTAGGGAAATACACCTTTCTTCTACATAGCACAGTTCTCATACTTTTCAATTGAATTTCTACAACAATAGTTTTTAAATTATTTGATTCAATTACTTTTTCCAAGTCTTGAATAATATAATTACCCCCACCCCTTCCCCAATAAAGCCCCTAGACTCTGTTACACAACAGAGTGTGTACACAAAGTGCATTTTAGAAAGCAACCTGTAAATTGTATCTTTGCCTCAGAAATAACCAGTTCCAAATAGCTCCATTCCTATTGGTATCTGCACAATCCCTTAATAACCACCAGTTTAGAACATAGAGTCACCAGCATATAGGCTTCATGGAACTAATTAATACTTCTGAATGCAACCCTTTTTAATTTAAACAGCACAAATAATTTTCAAACTTTTGTTAGATACTTAAACATTGCTAACTATTCATGTAAATAGTAGTACAACACCATCTGCTGTTCCAAAACTGCATTTTTAAATCTGTCTTTTTATCTTGTAATAGTTAATCAGAACTACCTGCTTCGGTGAATTTTCCCCCCAAACCAATATCAGAAACAGCAGATCCTTTAATGAAGAATGAATATATACATACATACATACATACATACATACATACATACATACATACATACATACATACATACATTTTGAATCAGCACTTGTATGTACAGTCTATATCGCTTTTCATAAGTTATCACACCAGAGAAATATAGATGTTACAGTACATATGTCATGTCCTAATACATGAGATTTTACATGACTTCCCATCCACCTTGGGCGAAAGGAGGAGAAATTTATCTATTTTTATATATGAAGATCCTATGTAATGTTTTTATGCACGTTGACAGCTAAGAAACAGAACGCTTTCATTCAGTGACATCATTCTTATGTATATATACACATTATTCTATGGAATTCCAGCTCTTTCCTGGAAATTGATTTCAAACTTTGGAAGTTTGCATATAGGGTATACACTGAGTGTTTTTTCCAGTGAGACTGGGGTATCAGGGCCACCT